GCAGCTGCGATCTGATTGGTTGATAGGTTCCTTATATCTATAAAAGGAATTTTGATATTCAATGAATAATGCACGATATTCTTTCTACCATATTCCCTCTATTATATTAATGTTCAGCAAAATTCCTGCATATTTAATGAGGCTGCTTCAATCAAATTGGCTGATGGTTTCCAGTTAATATCTTTTGATGGAATTATTGAATTGCAATGAAAATTGCCTTACATTGTATATACTGAACACTCAATCCCTCGATCATGCTCAATGCTGAATTGGCAAATATGTAATGACGTGAGGCTGCTACGATTTGATCAATAATACAGCACATATATTGCATTTCATTCCTTCATCATGGGTTAATTGCAGTCATCTATCATTTCACTCAAAGCTGGCCCAGGATTTTGGATGCTGGACTTCAGATTGTTGTACTATTTCTTTAACTGACAAAGCTTACCTCAAGTCAATGGAAGTGTTCTGGCCCAACTTTGCCACAGTTATATCCTAAACAAAGGGGAGGCTACTGTTTATACAAAAAACACACAGTGCAGCGGGACAGGGATCATTAATTGGTCCAATCTGGAAGTGTGGCAGATTTTAATTGAACATAGGATAACGGTTGCCTTCTAACTTTGCGCTAGACGGAATTCCTCTTAATAGCTCTATGGTACTGAGCATTACTAGGAAATCTGGGGTCATGGGCTCGCGATCCCTGGTGGAAACACAGTCTCTCTTTCCTGTTGCAAATGGTGTCCTTGGCCCTCCCTTTGGTGACATGGAGTTAGAACCTGGGTTGTTATAGTGTCTGAGGGCAAACACATTTCATAAGGGGAGAGTAGTGTGGCTTATTTTCATTGAACATAGGATTACGGTCGCCTTCTAGCTTTGAGTAGAGGAAATTCCCCCTTAGTTCAGTGGTAGATCTCTGACTAGGAAGTCTGGGGATGTGGGTCTGATCCCTTGTGTGTTAGCACATACACTACTCTCTTTCCTGTTACATACGTAACAAGAGGTGTAAGCACATACACTTACTCTCTTTCCTGTTACACACGTAACAAGAGGTGTAAACACCGACACTACTCTCTTTCCTGTTACATACGTAACAAGAGGTGTAAACACCTACACTACTCTCTTTCATGTTACACACGTAACAAGAGGTGTAGAAGCACCTACACTACTCTCTTTCCTGTTACACACGTAACAAGAGGTGTAAACACCGACATTACTCTCTTTCCTGTTACATACGTAACAAGAGGTGTAACCACCGACACTACTCTCTTTCCTGTTACATACGTAACGAGAGGTGTAAACACCTACACTACTCTCTTTCATGTTACACACGTAACAAGAGGTGTAGAAGCCCCTACACTACTCTCTTTCCTGTTACACACGTAACAAGAGTTGTCAACACCTACACTACTCTCTTTCCTGTTACACACGTAACAAGAAGGCAGTCAAGAAAATCTTACAATGGATTCCAATAATCTTTCAGAAATTTATCTTGATTTAAGCTTCTGGGCAAGTCAACACATTGTAGCTAAAAATTGACAAAGCACAACTGTAATACCAAAATAATTAAACCAAGTCTTTGAAGGCAGACAGTAATAATTTCATCAATAAGTTTATACAATTTATTCAATACATTCAAGCTAGGACTTCCTGAGTTGTGAGTTTGATTACCCTAAAAATGATAAAGATTGAACAGACGATGCATGACCTGCGTGCATGTTATCTGACACTTTGCCCAGGTTTTATTGGATTTTAAATATTCAATGAGTTACCGTAATTATTCTAGTCCTAATTCTATGAAAATTTGCTACAGAGCACAATTCTATCTGACCCATTAATATTGTTGAAGTGTTAATTTCCCAAATATTACAGATTTCCCAGATGAATACTACTGTCATGCAGGTATTCCACCTGTGGTTGAAATCGAAACTAAGAACTACCTGTACTTTGATGCAAAATGACCATCCCCCTTTTTTTTTCTTTTTCTTTTCATCAAATTTAAATTAGGTTGGAAGAAAAAGTATATGTATAGATGCACTTGTAATTGATGCAGTCTGATGTATAGCACTCCCTGTTACTGAGCACTCAGTGCCACAGCCCTGAATACAACTACTGGTGTATATTGATTCAAGCATGGCTAAGCTTACCGCTATAATAATGCAAGAGGCCATCATCTGTTGACATCAACTTGAAGGTCAAGTGGCCGAATTTGGGGTCCAAATGGGGGTAATTACTTTTTCCATATGTCAAGCCTTATTGCATGTTTGACAGAGTGTTGTAGACGATACATTGATTTTGAATTCCCAGGAGGTACATTAGGGGAATTCATCATTACTGTTTATAACAGGCTGTGATGTTGGTAGATGTGGCATTGCCTTTACAATATGTAGCATGGTCCATTTTCCATTAGGAATGCTCACTGGTGCTGTCTGATTTGAGATGGCCTGGTGCCCTAGTAATCTCAGTGTCGTCTGTACATGTACATATAATGTACTTGTCGCTAATTGTAGGGGCGACATATTTTATTAGGACCCCACATAGACAATTGTCCGTCAGTCCTCATCATTAATTGAGGAAACGATATACTGTGTAACAGGAAACTGCTCCCCAGTCAAATATTCACCCTTGGCTGTCACAATTTATGTTCGCCCCGTGTTAAGCTCACCCTTTAACATGTTATTACTATATACAATGTATTGTATGTTGGAAAAGTGGAACTGCAGCGAAAATTTCCTGGTGTACAATTAGGTCCCCGCACTGGAGTTATTGATGCCCTATGGTAATCACATTGTCCGTCTGTCAATCCGCACTTTCATGGAGATTATTTCGGAATAAAAAGAACTAATCTTTTTGAAATTGGACATGCTGATCGATACACTGTGGTATATTATGGTATGCATTAACCGTTTTATCAACTTCAGATGAAGAAGTGGTTAATTTGAGAGGTGGTCAGATTATGAGGAGCTCAAATAGTAATTACATCACAGTCAATCAAATTAAGAGAAGTTTCTATATAAGGCTACTTTTATGGCAGATCGGCATATTGTTTTGAGATGTAGCTTATAGTGCATATACAGTCTTAGATAAAATCTGTTTCTTCATGTCAAGTATGAGGGCTGTAGTAGCTCCAGATGGCTTGTCTTAATTATTGATCACTTGTCTTAAGTCTTACAAGTGATGATAAGATTTCAGTAAATATTTCACCACATATATAAAGTGTGTGTGTTGGTGACTCTTAATTAGCATTGAGAGCATTATCAAAGTACCGGTTGTCTCACTTTGTAGCTTAATATAAAGGTCAGAAATCAGTGTGATTTTTCCAAAATTTACTTTCACATGTTGCTCTCAAAGACTAGCTGTTAATTTATTTTTTCACAACTTTAATGTTATAAATACATGTATTACAATATAAATTAATACAAATTTGTATCATAACCCTCATGTCAAGGTTGTGTCATATAACCCTAATGTCAAGGTTGTGTCACATAACCCTAATGTCAAGGTCATGTCACATAACGCTAATGTCAAGGTAGTGTCACATAACGCTAATGTCCTGGTCGTGTCACATAAACCTAATGTCAAGGTCGTGTCACAACCTTAATGTCAAGGTCGTGTCACATAACGCTTATGTCAAGGTAGTGTCACATAACCCTAATGTCAAGGTCGTGTCACATAACGCTAATGTCCAGGTTGTGTCACATAACCTTAATGTCAAGGTCGTGTCACATAACCCTAATGTCAAGGTCATGTCACACAACCCTAATGTCAAGGTTGTGTCACATTACCCTAATGTCAAGGTCGTGTCACATAAACCTAATGTCAAGGTCGTGTCACATAACCCTTATGTCAAGGTCATGTCACACAACCCTAATGTCAAGGTCGTGTCACATTACCCTAATGTCAAGGTCGTGTCACATAAACCTAATGTTAAGGTCGTGTCACACAACCCTAATGTCAAGGTCATGACACACAACCCTAATGTCAAGGTCGTGTCACATAAACCTAATGTCAAGGTTGTGTCGAATAACCCTATATATGTCAAGGTCATGTCACATAACCCTAATGTCAAGGTCGTGTCACATAATCCTAATGTCAAGGTCGTGTCACAATCCTAATGTCAAGGTCGTGTCATATAACCCTAATGTCAAGGTCGTGTCACATAACCCTAATTTCAAGGACGTGTCACACAACCCTAATGTCAAGGTTGTGTCACATAACCCTAATTTCAAGGACGTGTCACACAACCCTAATTTCAAGGACGTGTCACATAACCCTAATGTTGATGTTGGTTTATGTCTAGGTAACATCAATTTTGCAATATGTAGTAAGACGCGTGCCATGTACCACCAACCTTATACTTGTTGGTGAATGGTAACTAATTGTGTGATTATATATATGTGTGATGTGCTTGTTAGCTAGTCATATTCCAAGGTCCAAGATCAGTCCACTGTGTGATTATGGGAGATATTATATATAATATATATATTTACACTCCTGGCACATTCCAGGGCCCTTTACTGACCCAGCTGTCAGCGTTCTTATTGTTTTATAAAGTGATATGAAAAAACAATCTGGTTGGTTGAAAATCATCACTGCACTGATTAAGCAATTAGCTACATGTATACTGTAGTCCCTTCTTAACTTTGATGTGCATTAATTGGGCAAGGATACTGCAGGTTTTTACCCAGTGTTTACCGTGTTCATCTGTACATATAAGCTGGTTATCTCATTTAAACCTGAAGACACATTTGAACACTTTTAGTTCAAAGGCTGGAATAGTTCATTATGAGATTTCGGGGGTGAATGAGTTAACACAGACTTATGGTAATGTTATTAGGTACTGAACCCTTCACTAGCGCTGGTTCTATTGAGATAAATCTCTTTCATCTTTCAGCAATAGATTCATCCATACATAATTTGAAAAGTTATTGATTTCTTTCAAACTTGAAATTGTTCGTTTTGTGATATTGCTAACTCGATATTTTCTTCTTTTATAGGTTTCGCAGTAATACTGAATCTTCAACTGGTGATGGTAAGGTTTTTTTCCTTTTTTAAAGAATTGGTATATATATTTAAGTTTTCAAACTGCTGTCCAAGTGTTCATCCAATAACTGCCCTAAAAATCGTCTGATTTCAACAAATTTTGGTATGGACAATAGCCACATACATATATATAAATGGCGATTAATAGATTGCCAATTTGTTGTGTACATATGTAATTACAATAATTGAGGGTATTTATATCTAATTGATTAAGGTCTCCTCGCAGTCAATTCTGTAACTAACCCTTAAAACGTTTCAACCCAATTTGGTATCAACCTACCACATGACAAGTGTGAGGTTAAATTGGATCTCAATTGTGATGAGGGTACTTGATTCTGATTGGTTGACTGGTTTCAATTAACTGCCCTTAAAATGGTTTACAATCAAATTCAGACTGCAATAGTCCAAATCTTTACAGGTCCAATAAGTGTTGATTTCTTTTATAGATAACTCCAAGACTACCTGGTATACACACTCCATGGAGCTTGACCCTGACAGTGAGACTGAGGTCACAGACAGCTCAGGGGCATGTAACTCGGGCCCAATGTCTGCTTGTTCCAATGGAGAAAACATGAACACTGCAGTTCAGAAAGTACCTGACAAAAAACCTAAGAAAGTAACACCTGATGGAGCTAATGAGTACACTGTAAGTCGGGATAGTTCTGTAAAACACTTTACATAAGGCAGATGAAGTATGTTAACTCATGATCATGGGTAAATAATTGTTTTAGATTATAGTGAAATGCTAATATCATGTGTGACACAGTACATATGTTATCACTGTAGTGGTTTGGCATAACAGTGCTTTGCCTTGATCACACAATTTCGATCCAGCAATTCAAGTAGTCGACCAACAATCCCCCTCATATGTGTATGCAGTTGTGCATATTTATCCTGCACACTGATCCTGTGAAATTTGGCAGAGTTATTTCCCTTTTTATTCTTAAGGCATACCGGTAACTGTCTGCCTGTGACAATTAATCATGTTCATACTTGCCAACCCTCCCTATTTAGGAAGGAGACTCCCGGATTTGGACCCTTAATTTGAGTATTTTTAACCAGTGAGTTTGCTAAACTAATCCTATTTTCTAAGATGTAATGATTTCATCTGAAAGAACAACTCAAAACATGTCATTTTAAAGGGTTATTTTGTCTCTAGGGGGGGTATATATACACACGCATTTTATTCTTGTATTAATTTTGAGCATGCAGAATCTCCCCCATCGAAATTTCAAAAAGTTGGCAAATATGCATGTTTTCATTCAATATCTTGGAACATGAAATGGTTTAAATCACTTTCACGTGTACTGGTACATGTTTATTAATTATAATGCTTTGTTTACCAGGTAAGCGTACTATAATGCTCGTTTAATCAGGTAACGCAATTGCTTTATGGTTTATAAGTGCTTTTTGATAAGGTAGTAAAATGCTGTGTTTATTTGGTAGGGCACACCTACATATACAATGACCATGAGTAAGGATTACTGTACACATCAGTTATTCTGAAGTATACAGTAATATCTAAGTCTCAATACAATTTCTTGTCCTCTTATTCCCTCTATTCATGGCCATGAACCTTAAATTATCTTATTTACCAAAAACACTGCCTTTGTAAAAAATCCCACATGTTGCATGTTACATTGTATTCCGTCTTTGCGTATTGCAGAGTTATCTTCTCTTGTAAGCAGGTATTGATTGTTACGTCATTGGTTTGTGTGAGAATATTATGTCGTTTTCTCAAATATTGATGACGCTTCTCTCACAAACCAATGATGTAGCAATCAATACCTGCTCACAAGAGAAGATAACTCTGCAATACGCAGAGATGGAATAGCATTAACATGTTCACCTCTAAGTAATTTAAGTAGACTCTTCCATACATTTATCTGGATGAGTTCATTATGGTCTAAAGTTGTGAAAGGGTTAATAAAATTCAAGGTCAAGTGAAAGCAATAAATATAAAGATGCGAACATTTGAGATATAAAATTGTAGTTATGTTAACTGTTAAATATTTATCGCATTGAAATTAAAGGAGGAATATATATTTTCAAAATGTGTATATATAAATGGAATTGATGATGACGTGATGTTTATCAGAGTCTGTGCCCACAAACATGGTTCTACTATAGGTGTATGTAAAAGGATTCAAGTTATTAGTACGTATACCCTTGTGTGATGTTTGCAGGTCAAAGACACAGATTCCTTAGAGAGCATTGCAGCGTTCTTCGACACAACTCCTTCTGAGCTGAGAAAACTCAACCGCTTAACAAGTCGCCTGATTTTTCCAGGAAAGGTCTGTTCACCTGGTTTGAAGTTCATCCTAAACTTAACCCATTCACCCCTAAAGTCCAAATTGGACTTTACCATATCACTGACTGGGCAAGTCCAGTTTAAAAATGTTGGGGTGAATAACTTAATGTGACTCTGTGGAGTTCTGTCCCTTTAACTTGATGTTGGCATGAGCAGCATGTGTGGTTTGAACCTAGAATTTTGGTATAATTTCTGTCATTAATTTCCTCTGTACAGAAATTATACATTCTATTCCACCTCACTCAAATTTGATATTGTTGTACCATCACTTCTGGTGGTTTCTATTCGCACTGTAAAGAGCAATTATTGTTTTTGAATTATCTCCTGAGCCGTAATTCTTTAGAGAATTTGTGTTTGGTAGTCTTATTACAGTTTTTTAAAGGCTTTTCCAAACTGTTGCTTCTTTAAGTAAAAGAAGCTCAGCATCAGGTTTGCTTTAGTTCTTGGTGAAATTCTTTAAAAAAATATTTCAATGTTAAAAATAAATCATTAGACTTGTTATAAATAGGGGAAGTGCTTTATCTGATGATTATAATGTAATGTTTGTTAATATGTTGCGATACGAGTATGCAAATTAATGTCATTATATGTTTACAGTGTTTGATTCTGGCATTCCTGTGCTGAAACTTGTAGGACAAAATAAACTACACTTTTAAAAGTCTTAGACTTACAGTGCAGATTTAGTTATACTGAGATGTTGTCCGTTATCACTTCAGATGATAAGTTTATAAGAATGTGTTGATATTTGTACAAAACATCATTTGAAGCCTTGGAATGCAGGCTCTGCAAGTTTTAAAACTAAGGAGTGTTTGTCTGTTTGTCTGTCAGGTGCTGTATGTACCAAAACCAGAGGAAGTAATAGAGGAAGTGAAGCCACTGCCATCCTCGCCAAAGAAGGCAACTACTGCAGACATAATGAACCACCGACCATGTATGGTATGTACCTTATACAACACCCTCACATCATCGACCGTGTAGGGTATGTACCACATACAACACCCTCACAACATCGACCGTGTAGGGTATAAACCACATACAACACCCTCACAACATCGACCGTGTAGGGTATGTACCACATACAATACCCTCACACATACAATACCCTCACAACATCGACCCTGTAGTGTATGTTAAACACATACAATACCCTCACAACATCGACCCTGTATGGTATGTAAAACACATACAACACCCTCACAACAACAACCATGTAAGGTTTGTAAAACACGTACAACACCCTCACAACCAGTTCTGTATCCAGAAGGCTGAACATTCCTGGTATTTCCAAGGGTGATACACTGTCACATGTAAATAAGCAATAGGGGTTTAACATATTCTTAAGGTCAAGGTCAAGGTCACTGTTACTGAATATAGAACAGGGGATATGCTTTGGAAAATGCATTGTATTGCCCCGTTTTCGACCAAGAAGTCTTCCATTTGGTGATAAAAGGTATTTGTTGGATATTCTACATACATTATGTAATATTACTATGAATGAGAAATCCAACATGGTTGCTGGTCAAGGTCATTTCCCACCAGTTCTGATTCGCTGAATCATGTATGGCTATAAGTCTTGGTCTATTGGTACAATTTTGTTAATTTATGGTGGTAATTGGATAGTCTACATACTGATAAGCACATACACCTACCATCAAAGTACCAACTTTTTGAAAGTAAAAATTATCACTGTTCTTTCTGCTTCACCATTAAAGAGGATGTGTATAGGATGAAGTATTGTTATACTTCTTGAAAATTGAACCTTAGCTTGATAGTAGAAGGATTTAGATGGTCTGGAAACTGGCTTTCCCAATAATCACTTCAGAATAGAGATATTGCAGTTGTAGTTTAACTTGGTTTACTTCCCATGGCTGCAGCCTGTAGGGAGAGGCTGGTGGTGGTGGTGGGGCTCATTAGTGAGACAGTTGCTTAAACCCCAGACCCCAACCCAGATGTTCACCCCTAGACCACACTCTCATTGCCCTTTCCGAGTATTTGTAAAATGTGATATTGAACTGCTTTCATTTGGCCATCATTGTCAATATGAATGCCAACTGGAAACTTACATAATAATCTAGACACTTCATGAACTATGCCATATCTTATTCTTATTGACTAAGTACCAATTAGAAACAGTCATCAACAAATCATAGCTTCTGATGGCTTTCTTTGTCTCCAGGACATTCCTTTGGTGAAGATGGCCGACAAGCCCCCAGCCAAGATTCCAGGCCACATTGAGCGCCAGACCTCGACAACATCTCCCGGCCAGGACAGCTCACTGCAGAAACTGTCTGAATACGAGGCCAAGCAGCTCGACCAGGATTGTCACGAACGCTTCATCAAGGTCTGCGTGAAACACATCACAGATGGGCAGGTATGTATGCTGATAGCCGTCAAAGTCAACGCTAAAACATATCACAGACGGCCATCTGCAAGTATTCAAAACTACCATTTGGACTGCTTATCAGTTCTTTGTGATATCTTTATGTTATGTCTATTATTTTCATGATCACTATTGCTGTAACAAAATGTATCAGAAAGCCGGTATATTGCAATTCACAAGGCATATATTGTATTGTATTGCAGAATACAAATGAAATACATGTATTGCGATACATTTCAAAAGTTTATTCTAATGTCTCTATTAGGTGTTTTAACTTTGCAAATACAGATTACACATTCTAACAGAAATGCCAGAAATGATGAACAGGCTTTTTACTGGTGGTGGAAATCAGTGGAAAATTTCATAATCACTGGTTGGTTTAATGAAAATCTTAAGTTTGTGAGATCCATATGATGTGTGATTCAGTACTGTTAAATAACATATGCTGCATAGTAAACGTTTGTGAGACGCATTGAATACAGGATACCGTAGTCAATATGTCCATGCTGTTGTCTGTTTGTCTAGGGTGTGGTCAGTGGGGTGCTCCTGGTAACCCCTAATGCTGTCATGTTTGACCCCAATGTGTCCGACCCGTTGGTGTTAGAACACGGTGCTGAACGTTACGGTGTTATAGCCCCCATGGATATGATTGTCAGTGCTGCTATGTACCATGACATTGCTGCAATGAGCATTCACGGAGAAAAAGGGTTAGTACTTCATTTATGTTAAGCTGCCTTTATAAGTGTTAATATCTTCCTTGATAGACAAGTGGAATTTTTAGCTCACCTAGTACGAATGTCTTATATTGAACTTAAAGATATACCAAAACTGCAATGAGACTTGAAAGTCTATTAACCTTTATTCCAGGCAGATGTGACTGGATTATGTGATATCTGGAGTTATAAAATCTTTACCTGTAACTGAGCATAATTATGAGCTGGTTATAAAATATGTGGCATATACAATACATTAAATAGATGTGAACTTTGTTTATTTCCAGCAGTGTTACAAAGGATGCACCGAAGCCCGAAATATACCATGACCGGAGCTGTCCGCTCTACAAGTCGTGGGTCGAAGGTCATGCTGAGCTGATGAAACAGGACCCTCAGGCCTACGAAGCAAAGATCCGTACACCAAGTCGCAGTGCAACCATCAACAGTGAAATGTCAGATACTGGAAGTCTGTGTTCATGTGGACAGGGAGCGAATGCTCCGGGACTTTCCCCTGCTGGTCAGAGTGGGCCGGGGATCTCTCCTGTTGGTCAGAGTGGGCCAGGTCTGTCTCCTGGCAGTCAACGACATGCAGGTCTGTCGCCAGGTCATAGTGAGGCTGGTCTCTCTCCCGTCGGTCAAACCAGACCTGGTGTATCACCTTTCAATCAAAGACTCTCACCTAGTACTGACAAACCTGTTAACAAGGAGTCTGAGGAGGATGTCATGTTGATAGATTTAGACATGAAGGATGTGTCTGACAGTGCTACCCAGGAGACTTCAGCTAAATCAAACGAAGAGAAAGGCAGAAGCACATCTATGGACGAGTTCGGAGAGTTCATTAGTGCAGATCCAAATGAAACCAACCAATCGGAGAGTGAACATTTGTCACATGATGAGAAAGGTGACACTCAACTTTCAAACCAAACTGCCGGTGTTAATGAAGAGGACACCAATGATGTATCACAACATTCAAATCTATCCCTGTCAAGGGGTGGTAATTCTGACAGCGAAAGACTACCTGCTTCCAATCAGGAATTAGTGGCTGGAAGTAGCGACGATGCAAATTCTTTTCACCTTGAAAACACTATGGCTGTGGAGCGGGTGTTATCAGCACAAAGTGCCGTGATTTCAGAAAACGATGGAAATAATGAAAATGATTCCACAATGGAACAGATTGGCAACATTGTGTATCTCCCAGTGTCTGAGGGCCAACAAGGAGCAATAAGTCTGAGTGATGTGGAAACAGCACAGGATAGACTCAGTAAGATTAGTGTGGGCAAGTTCGAACAGGAGGATAAGCCTGTCTCTGATCCAATGGATGTTCCTGGTTCAAACAGAATGTCAACAGGCGACCCAAGGCAGTCAAGTTCGTTTGGATCTTTCAACGTATCTCCACATTTGAGTGCATTTGTCAATTATGCAACTGGACTTTTTAAAACTAATGCAGAGGTCAAGGACATATGTGAGGCCATGTCTGAATTGGAAGTGCAGGGAGAGGATGGAATTGTCGACATAGCACAAACAGAAAATAACATTCATAAGAACACGGTGAAATCAGGATTGGAAGTTGAAAATGCAATAAAGCTGACAGATAAACCTACACTGTTCCAGTCTTTTGATGGTATGTATATAAATGCTTCAATATATGTAGCTTTTGAGAGAAGGCCTTCCTCAAATCTCCAACGGTTCCGCTCATTTACGGTCTCTGTAACATGAAATATGTCATATCAAAATTGAAGGCACATGGCTAGCGATTTAATTGGTCTCTGGTAATAGAACTGGACTAATCGCTAGGCTGGTATCTGTCCTTTGAACATTAAAGAGGAGCAACACCAGAGTTCAAAGCCCGTCAATTTTACCGTTACAAGACCGCAACATTCTTTTGATGTACATCAAAGGATCAAGTTTAAACTACCTAGTCGTTGTATCTCATACACAAGGTGGAGCACACTGAGCCTTCAATTTTGTCATGATTCATTCCAGAGAATGTGAGTGAGAGTATCCGCTGGAGTATCAAAAAGCCTCCCTAATCTGTCACAACTGTCAAAGGGGAAGCAACTCTCAATACCTTAGGATAATGTAGTGATTACACCTGTTATTTGTTTTCAGGTAGTTGGCATTGGAGCTACCACATTGATCTCTATTGTAATATTGACCCTCAGTAGAAAGATGTCTGTGCATTCTTGTTTAGGGTACACTAATAGTATGATAGGGAGTTTTAAGGAGTTTAGTATGGTAAAGCTTGTATTTATACCTGTATATATAGGTTCTTCCACCATTGCTGGTTGGTTATCATGTTTATCAAACTTGAGTTGCTTAAGTTTCAAATTGCATAAAGACACAGGACTTACCTTGTGTCTTAAACAATTTGAAAATTAACCATAGAGACTTAACCCTTTCAACCCTAAGTAACTTTAGTAGGCTCTACCATTCATTGATCTGGATGAGTCCATTATGGTCTACAGTGGTGAAAGGGTTAAACAGCTATGATAATCAACCATCATGAGTTGGGGACCTTTCTCCTATAATGTTCGTTTCATATCTAGAATGCCATTCATTTCTCCTCGAAATATATTTTTTATGATCGAGGAAACTATTGCAATGAATCATGATGTCACAATTGAAGACGACAACATAAAGAATTGTAACATGACGTCAAAATTCAAAGATTGAGGCATGAATCAACGCCCTCGGTGTTTGCCACTAATGGATAACCAAAATTGCTAATCAACTCCTAACAGGTTTATGTAATGAGTCGGGAGTGAGGAAACCTATATATATAGTGCTAGTGGGCGAAATGTGGTGAAAAGCATGAATAAATACCTATTGTGTTATAAAGTCTGGAGCAGTATGTAATACCAGTACAATGTATACTGGTATATAAGTTACTAACAGTATTCATGGTGAATTGAGAATCAGCTTATTGTCTGCTCCTTGATTCAAGCTTATACACACATTATAGAGGGTAAGTCATAAACACCCACTAGCTGTTTGCCTCTACTTGTGCATGTTATTCATAAAAAAATAAAATATCATTTATAACCAGTTGTAGTAAATTAAAGTCTCCAAATCTTATTGATTTTCTTTAAGTGGTTCTTTTTGGGGTTAATTATATCTATAATTCCACACTTTGTTATACAATAAAACATAACTGTCTGGAGTCATTATCCTGATGTATGTTTAAAAAAACAAATTAACGCTGAGCTATATTTTCCACATGGACCAGAATTTAATATATCCATATACACTGTATATATAAATGTACACTATAAATATTTCTCATATTAATTGACCATCCACTATATATTTTTTCTGCAAAAATCATTTGTTTACTGCATTTCATAAAACTAATAGATCAAGTATTCTAAATGATATAACTTTTGTTGAGAGCCAAATAGTTATATAAGATTATACTGAATTTTATTTTCACAAAATGCTTTCAGTTTCCAGTAAATATACAACTACTCGACAAGTTGTATCTGTGATATGTGTTTTACGTAGAGATTTTGCCCTCTGATGTCGACTTATTCATCACGAAATAATATTTTCCATTGATGATTATACTGTCTAAAAAACTACAACATTTAAAAATGAGCTCTAAATTATTATAGTGCTGTTTTTAACTAATCATTTTTTTTTTAATGATCCTGCAAATTTTCAACTCTCACTTTCTTCCTCCATTTTCTGATTATTAATTTAATTAATTATATATGGAGCTTACGTTTTTTGAGTTTGAAATTTGAAAGAAAACTGGTATATTGGAGAACTCTGAGTTTATAGACGTTTGGTATTGACATTGAGTTACTTCCCTTGCACGATATACACCTGTACATGTATCTAGATTAATGTTGCAGCTGCCAGAACTGAAACTCATTGTCCAATCTATTTATAGTTGCATTTTTATGAACTGTATACCGGGAAATGTTCTTCCAGTAAAGCTTTTGTCCTTCCGTAAACTCGATTTCCACCCAGTGTAAATTTTGATAAAGAGAACATGCCCTCATTACGGAGGGCAAAAAGGGGCAAAAATTACACTGACGAAACTTTCCTGGCATTTCCTGGCATACAGTTAATCGTTTGGTCATAAGTAAACGTACGATCGCTAATGTAGACACACACAAAAAAACTATATCATCACTTTCCTTTTACATCATATTGAATTGACATATATTGGAATCATTGTTATAACATTGGACAATCGTGATTGTCTGCACTTGAGAAAAAGTGAATTCCTCCACGAAGTCAAGTACATGTACATTTAGGACAGTCTTTGTCTCTCTGATTCGAAAACTAATTATATGTTATGGCATGTGACATTACAACCATCAATAACAGGCCATAGGTTGAGTGTAAGGTGACAAGACCTGTTTTACATCATGTATTTTATAGACCAACTTGATTTATCTTACAACAATTATGAAGTATTAACAAGTAAGTTGATGATGCTCAAAGAATGCAATAATTGTTGTAAGGATATGTATATGCTGTAGATAAAGTGAGATATAATATTTTAGGTTTTGTTAAAGAACCTCACCCCAGGTCACTGGACCACAAAATGTATATAAGGCCTGAATGATGTAGATTTATATAACCAACATGATATAAAACATCAAAATATGTAAACAAATTGGACAATGAGCTACACTTTACGTATAGTTAAGATTACTGTAACATATACGTATACCTCACCAGATACTTATTCAATAGTCTGTCGCACGTACAGTACTAGTCATTGATGGTATTCTTTCTTTTTTTTTTTGCATTGAGTAGGAATATTGTATTTTGCTATTCTGATATTTTGTACATGTATGAGGGACAAAATCCAAAATGTTATATTATGGTTTGCTAAATCATTTTTTAACAAAAGACATCCAACATGAAAAATGTATATACATCTTGATGGAGAGACTGCCTTAAAATTAGCTTGCTCGTCACCGGTATATTGTATTTCTTTTCGGTACAATCTATTTTTCTGGTACATAGCCTTTATTTGTCACTTTAATTAAGATTGAAAAGAATAGCTTAATATTAATGTAAAAATAAAATAAAAAAATCTGATGCCAAATTTGTCATAATTGACGGTGATTTATATATGGAAACAGAATAAAAAATAGTATTTGTATGTATTTGATGATTTAAAGGTTAATTTTGATATAGTCCATGGATTTGCTTGCGAAAGTTTGAATTATGTCTCTGTTGATTGAGTACTGGATGATCTACACAGCATTACATTGAATTGTACACCTGCATCAAATGATACTCACACATTTTGCTTTCATTCCTCTTGTGGTTTGCCAGGCATTGGTAAGTTTGGTTGACACTTTGTGTTGTGTGTTGTTTGATGTTGTCCTGGTCTGAGTGTTGTTTACTGGAATCTAATAATATCCAGTGACTTTATTTAGCTTTGAAGTCCTTTTCAGTATATTAAAGTTTTTGTGTGTATTTTGATAAGCGTCCTTCACACGCTTGAGTAGAAAACTTGACCTACAGTCAAGGGTGCTACTCAAAAAGATTGCATGTAGTTCAAAATGATGGCTTGGTAGCACAGATACTCTAAAATCTTGATAATTATATATAAACCTGATTTGAAAATAAGCCAGCCTTGAAATAAACCCTGAGTTCTGTGCAGTTAAACTTATCTCAATAGTAAGGCATCTTTAAAAATTGGTCTCCCTTAAGGACTTGCACAGAAATTTAAATGTGCTGCATTTCTCCTGGGCGCTAGCACCATTTCTGACTCAAAGTAAATATATATAAGGGTGGGCAAATTACAGGACACTGAATAGCTTCTGTTGGAATTTCTACTCAACTGCAATATATATAAGTGGACAAGTACCAGGATACCGCCAGATAAATAAAGTAGTGTGTGTCTCGTAATTCTCTTGAATAAGGAGCCATTCGTTTTGTAAATTTGTCTCATTTTTGTCTACACTGTCAACATCATTTAGAGTTCTATTATCTATATATATATATATATTTATATATATTTTATAAATCAGAAAAATGATCCTTATGGACAAATAAATATTATATAAAGGAAAATTCTTAACAACGAGTCTTTAGTACTTTCATCTCTTCTAGGAAATTCTTCAGACTGAAAGACTGAAAAATATATATCCGTGAGTCTGAAGAATCTCCTAGAAGAGATGAAAGTACTAAAGACTCGTTGTTAAGAATTTTTCTTTGTATAATATATATATATTTATATATATTATTATTTTAGTGTTCTAGTATCTATATATATATAATGTATATATATTATTATTTTAGTGTTCTAGTATATATGCAGTGTATAATGTACTATCGTTCTTTCTGTAAACAACAAAGCTTCCTCAGTACTAACATCACCAATACTTTTCCCATAATATAATCAGTATAGTTTAATAATATGTATACAGTGAAGAATAGTATGCTAGACGTTGCCTAAAGAAAAGAAAACAGATGAGATTTCTTGTGTAGATTTTCACATTAAACAACCGGTACCCCTTGGAGTTAAATTGAAGGTTATTTATTTATTCTTTAAGAACGGTCAATGGAAAACAGTAACATGGGTTGAAGCATCATGTACACATCTTTATGTTGATTAGTCTTTTTTTTCCCCAGAAAAATGTTTAATCACAGACTAGTCTCACGAACAATTATAAAATAAGATGTCCAAAGAAGAGCACTATTTCATGTCACAGAAGCATCCAAATTAGAATATTGGAAGTTAGGGAATTTCCTAAAGTTAAGGAATGTCCCTGAACCAATGCCAGAATAGTATAGATGATGGAGAACAGCGCTCCCCAGCTTAAATATATAGCCAGAATCATACAATCAGATCTGACTGGTGAATTAAAATATTCAAGGAAAACATTTATCCACACTTTGAAACTTCAGAAACAGCTGACAATCCTGACCTGTTGATAGAAATGTTGTAGCGTACTAAGAGAAATCAAATCATCTTTAAGTTTATGGGGTCACAGTAACTTGGTCTTTAATTACACAAGCTTTTTTCAATTGAATTCCTGATGTAAGAATTTAGCTTCTGTCCACCATGGGATTACTCCGGCTGAGGCTACCAGAGTATATATAGTCCTTCAAATTAGGGCTGTAAGCTGTAGGCCTCAATGCCTGTAACACTTTTTCATGGGTATACACAGATTGCTACATCTGGTACAGTGGACACCTTATAAAGTAGACAGAAGTGACAAATATGCAAACAACCTAATAGCCAATCAGACTTTCAGTGCCTTTTTGTCTATTTATTTATCCTTTTGTCTGTCCACCATCTTCTTGTCTGCATCATGTCAGCCATTTGCTTGTTTTATACTATCACATCAGAGGATTATTTGATAAAATAATTCTCTGGTCTTTTTTTTATTAAATAATATTTAAATCTTGTCATAAGATTATGTACATGTATCAAAATATAGAATTTTTTGGACCATATTAGTTTTCAACTTGTTTTAATTAAATAGCCTAATATAATAAACTCTTTATTTTACTTGTTTGAAAGTACTTAAGTGCAGTTCTGTTTCAGGAATAATTCTGCCCGAGTTCGTGTTTTGTTTAAAGCATACCAGTAGTACTAGAACTGTGTTAATGTTTTACTTATCTTGATAATATTTTGGAGAAATTTAAATGACTTTATAGATTTAATGTATCAAATGTGTTTCATATATATACAATGTACACTCTTTTGAGATCTGGTTACAACTTCTCTTTAATTCAAGGATTGAAATTATACCTGAGTAAACATTGAAGTCTAGTGAAACAGTTCTCATATTTCTGCGTCCGAAACAAACAAAAGTGATCCATTCAGATACAGAAGAATATTAAAATGAATATTTTTATTAAATAAATTAAGCTAAAATTCATAGAGAAATATTCAATTGTAATTCACATTTTGTGTCTATTTTAACAGAACTGATTCCAAAACCGGCAGCAACCTTTGACGACCTCCCCTTGTATCTGTGTCTCCGACTCGGCATGCCTATCAACAAGGAAATCTCACAGACGTGCCCCATACAGGCCTACGGCAAGGGTCGCAAAAAGCCGGAGTACTGGTTCTCTATACCCCGCGAAAAGTAAGTAAAGAAAACAGGCCTACAACGAGGGGCACAACTAGCTGGTTCTCTATACCCTGATAAAAGTAAGTACAATGTACAGAAAAACAGGCCTACAACAAGGGGCACACATTACTGGTTCTCTATACCCCGCGAAAAGTAAGTACAATGTATAGAAAAACAGGTCTACACCAAGAGGCACACATAACTGGTTCTCTATACCCCGAGAAAAGTAAGTAAAGAAAACAGGCCTACAACAAGGGGCACAAATTGCTGGTTCTCTATACCCTGATAAAAGTAAGTACAATGTACAGAAAAACAGGCCTACAACAAGGGGCACACATTGCTGGTTCTCTATACCCCAAAAAAAGTAAGTACAATGTACAGATAAACAGGCCTAAACCAAGAGGCACACATTACTGGTTCTCTATACCCTGAGAAAAGTAAGTAAGGAAAACAGGCCTACACCAAGAGGCACACATTGCTGGTTCTCTATACCCCGATAAAAGTAAGTTAAGAAAAACAGTCCTACTGCAAGGGACACACATTTTTGGCTCTCTATACCCCGAGAAAAGTAAGTACAGAAAAACAGGCCTATGGGTATGGACACAAATAGCTGTCTCTATATACCCCAAGAAAAGTAAGTTTAGGAAAACTGAGGCCTACTGCAAGGGGCACAAATTGCTGGCTCTCTATACCCATGCAAGTGACAAATAATCAACAACACGCCTACAGCAATAGGGACACATAAAAGTAGGGGTTCTCAAGCTATAACTAGTGACAATTTAGTCTTACATAGCCGGCCATGTAACATAGAGTTTTTCTATGAAAACCTGTTTCTCATGTCTATCGTACATGGATATGACATCACAATGGAAAGACAATGAGATGACGTCATACTGTGGTAAGTTTGACGTCATTTTCAAAACTGTGGTAGTATATGTCCTTAAGTTGTTTTAGTTAATCATTTCCTGGGTATATGATTTATATAACTGATGTAGCAGATATCATTTACTACTTTTAATTGATCATTACAGGGTAGATCACCTTTACGCATTTTTTGTGCAATGGACACCACAGATTTATGGAGGAGAGGATGACATTGCTGAGAAGCGAGGATTCATTGTCCTTAATGACGAGGAAGATGAAGAGGAGGAAAAGTTGGAGATGATGGACGAGTACTTCAGTAACGGGATGTTGCAGAAGGATTGGGAGGTGAGAAAGGTCACAGATTATAGGTCAAGGTTACCAAGGTCACCCATCATCTAGTCCTCACAAGTCGATAAAACAGTTGTGTTATATTATGTGCTATAAAAATATTTTCTTTACTTAAATTGCTTTTTACTTAAGAAAATATGGAACACGATTTATCCTACAGGAAAGGTTATCTTACATGAATGCGTCAGCCTCCAGAATGTCAAAAGGCCACCTGATGGGGTTTTCTATTTCAAGTTTTCATGAGTTATGAATCTTTTGGTTACAAAAAAAAAAGGAAAGACAAAATCAAAATAGATGTATTAATGAAAGATTGAATCATTTTGCTTTTGAAAAAGTATATTTAATTTTACCGTTATTATCACTAATTACAGAGAATGGATCCTGAGCAATTTTGGGTTTGTACTAATTGTGTATTAAGTTTTTGGGATTTTGTCATTATGGATAAAATTGTCAGTGATTGGCCTACACAAGGCATTGCTTAATTAATACTGTGTCGACTAACATTGTGGGATTTTCTGATGTGGTTTAATATTTATCATGTGTTTACTTGGTGAAATCTACCAAGATTTGTTTACAGGTAAATTATGTTGAAGAGGGATATTCTGGTTTATCTAACTAGGAATTGAACCATGTTCCACTGGCTTTACTATAGTCTGATGATCGATCAATTCAACTAGAATTTCTTCCTAGATGAGTTGGTGGGGAATGGGCTAAACTTTTACCATTTTAGCTGAATTTCGTTTTCAGCCTGATTGTGTAGACTGTATACAGTGTTGTAGCCATGGGGTTTTGGTTACTGCATTGTACAAAGAGCGTTCACTGATGAAACATTTCTAGTAAATAGTATACATACTACATCATCCAAAACTTTGGAAACCATAAATTCAGCACGGTGGGATCCCTTATTTATTAGCTCACCTGGTCCGAAGGACCAAGGTGAGCTTATAATTATGCCATACCGTGGCGTCCGTCGTCCGTCCGTCTGTACGTCCATACATCCGTACATCAACAATTTCTTTAAACGACTTCTTCTTCTTAACCACTGGTTGGAATTAAACTAAATTTGACTGGGAGCATCTCTAGGTGGTGGGGATTCAAAATTGTACAAATAATGGGGCTGACCCCCCAGGGGGCTGAGGGGCGGAGCCAAAAGGGGTCAATTTGCTCATATTGCTTTAAGCGACTTCTTCTCTGGAACTAAGAGGTGGATATCAACCATATTTGACTGGAAGCATCCTTAGGTGGTAGTGATTAAAAATTGTACAAATGGTGGGGCTGACTCCCCAGGGGGCTAAGGGGCGGGGCCAAAAGGGGGCAATTTGGCTATATTGCTACAAACGACTTCTTCTGTAGAACT